TTAGAAATACAGTTTAGGCATCCAAATCAAAGGGGCAGACCAAGTTAAAATGGAAATGCAAAGACAGCAAAAGTAAGAATCCTAGGTGCAAATCGTTTTCAGTGCCCCACTCTCTGCAAGGTAAGAAATTAGAAGGCTTAAATAAAAATTCATTTGGCGGAAGAATTCTTATTGGAGAGTCATGTCCTCATTTCACCGTCATTTAATTTGGATCCTGTCAACTTGCTCTAATCCTAAAGAGCTCACATCAGGACTCAAAAGAGTTAAAGTACTTAACCACATCCATCAGCTGCTGTGACTCTGGGCCACTCCAAACTGCAGGTCTAGAGCTACATCTTCTAGTTCATCCCCCATATTATTTTTGTGTGTGTCAGGAGCGACTTGAGAAACAGCAAGTTGCTTCTGGTGTGAGAGAATTGGCCGTCTGAAAGGACGTTGCCCAGGGGATGCCGTTTTGATATTTTACCATCCTTGTGGGAGGCTTCTCTCATGTCCCCACATGGGGAGCCAGAGCTGACAGAAGGAGCTCATCCACACTCTCCCTGGATTCAAACCTGCAACCTGTCGGTCTTCAGTCCTGCTGGCACAAGGGTTTAACCCACTGCACCACGGGGGCTCCAATATCCCCCATATTGAAAACACTACTATATGGAAAAGTCAAGTGGGAGCGTATGTAAATAAAAAAAATGTAATGTTCATTTGTGGGATTAACATAACTCAAAAACCACTGAACAAAATGACACAAAATTTGGCCAGAAGACACCTAACGGACCAATGAGTGACCATCACTCATAAAAACATGGAAAAACATAGTGGAAGGGACTTAAAACCTCCAAAAACTTAAATGATGATACAGTGCATGCATGGAAACAACTCTCCTGGCCCTGGACCCTCCTGCACAAGGGAAAGAGCTGGACATACCAGCTTTAAGAGCCAACCATGTGTGCATGGGAAAGAAGAAGAGAAAGAAAAAGGGACAGAAAATTGGGGATAAGGATGGAAAGTGGTAGAGAAGGAAGGTACCAGACTGAGGCCACAGCAAAGCGTGGCCAGGGACAGCTATTGTTCATTTGTTCAGTCGTCTCCGACTCTTTGTGACCTCATGGACCAGCCCACGCCAGAGCTCCCTGTCGGCCGTCACCACCCCCAGCTCCTTCAAGGTCAGTCCAGTCACTTCAAGGATGCCAGGGACAGCTAGTTAGGCATAAAAAGCCTCAAGGCAGCAAGTCCCACCTGATCTTATAAAACAAGTGGTTGTTGAATAGGTGACACCAACACATCCCAGGTGCTGTAAGCTTTATTTCAGATGAAGATATCTCTGAGTATTCCTTGCCTAAGCAACAATAAATAAATAAATTAAATGTATGCGGTCACCATAAGTTGACTGGAGACTTGAAGGCATAAGTTCTACTTATGTCTAGCAAGGTACAGGTGCAGCTATTGAGAGTTGGGGGTAATAATGAGGACCACTGAAGAGTCAGAATCATAGAGTTGGAAGGGACCTCATACGCCATCCAGTCCAACCCCCTGCCAAGAAGCAGGAAAATCACACACAAAGCACCCCTGACAAATGGCCATCCAGTCTCTTTTTAAAAGCCTCCAAAGAAGGAGTCTCCACCACACTCTGGGGCAGAGAGTTCCACTGCTGAACAGATAAACTGAGAATAACATTAAACATCCATGTCAGGAATGTTCATGTCATCGAATTTTCAATTTCTATGTTTAGTTAGGAAAGCTGGGCAGCCAAAAAAAAAACTGACAGAAAGAAAGTCAACTAATTTGAAATGTGGTGATGAAGAGTTCTGTGGGTACCAAAAACACCAACAAATGGATCCTGGAGCAAATTAAGCCTGGGCTTCTCCCCAGAAGCGAGGATAACTAAACTGAGATTGTCGTACTTTGGCCATATCATGAATCACCAGAAAAGACAAAAACATTTATTAAAAAGCAGTAGGAAAAGAAGAATACTGGAGGGACTCAATTAAGGAAGAAGAAGCCTTGAATCTTTGTTGTGGGATAATGTAAATCACACATAGTTCACACACTGTCTTACCAGAGAAAGAAAATATGCCATGCAGATGATCAATAAAGAACAAGAAGTTTACTCTTCATAATGCAGAACAAGATATATACAATCATGTGATCAGTTGCATTAACCCACATAATGTCCTTTTAGATAGAGATTTAAAATGGTCTTTCTTTGTCCATGTGGAAAGCCTTCTTTCAGCAGCTCCTGAAGCAAGAGAACACTCCAAAACTGTCCTTCTCTGCTTCTGCAAGTACCTGCACAGCTCAACTGTGAAAATGTAACGGTAATCAAAACTCCCAGGCTCAGCTAGCTCCCTGGGCATGGCCCAACCAATCAGCTTCATGCTTCTTATTTTACAGCTGACACACACACACACACACCAACTGATTTCTTACATGCCCTAACATTTGTAACCTGCCTGCATCAGACGAAAGGTGGGATAAAGGAGACAAAAAATACTCCACTTTGAATTCCATCATGTACAAAAGCTGGGGTATAACTATGATAGAATATGCAACTTCAACCTAACTCATCTTAGATTATGTTTGGTACCCTCCTGCCTCACTAGCATTAAAAGAGTTCTTTGTCCCACCCTGGTCATTCCACAATTTTCCTAGTTCCAACAGACCTCACAACCTCTGAGGATGCTTGCCATAGATGCAGGCAAAACGTCAGGTGAGAATGCCTCTAGAACACGGCCATACAGCCTGAGTAACCTACAACAACACAGCGTTAAAACTGGCTGCAGAAGGATTTCTGCCAGGCCACATATTAATTTATTCTTAAATGCACCGTATTTAAGCCATGTTTAAATTAGGTTTTTAATGATGTGCTATGCTTCCTCATCTTCTTTTTTTCAGAAGCCAGTTCCTCGGCTGTTTCATAGCTGGCATTTTGCAGTGAGCTGTTCTTTTTATACTATGCATAGGATCCCTGTGTCTGACCTTTTTATAATAATGGGATGAGATAAAAATACAGCTTCAGCAGAGAAATAAGCAAAGGACGAGCGGCACTTCCAGATATAAAAATGACCTTTTAATCTGTTATGCCTCCTGATTTAATTGAAGGATGTGGCTGGAAGGGGAGACGTTGTCTGAGTTGTGGGACTTCAAGTCGACCCTAAAGTGAAGCTGGGTGAGAGAGAGAGAGATGGCCCTTGCCTTCCTCTGAAGCTGAAAGAATGAGACTTGCTCAAGGTTATCCCCTGCATATCAATGGCTGAGGCGGAATTTGAACCCCTGTCTCATGGAATTGGTTCAGTTTCCAGGGAGAATGAGCAACCACTCCGGCAGAGCTTTCCAAACTGTGCGTTGGAATACACTAGTGTGTCACATGAAAAATGCCACACACATAACCATCAAAGCACTCTATTTAAAAACCTCCAGAGAAAGAGACTCCACTGGAAGAGATCCCCCAGAGGGCATCTAGTCCACCCCGCTTCAACCAGACAGGAAGATACAATCGAGCCTTCCTAACAGATAGCCATTCAACATCAGTTCAAAAACTCTCCTGAGAAGGAGACTCCACTGGGAGAGACCCCCAAAGTTCATCTAGCCCTATCCTCCTTATAACATTATAATTTGCACATGGAGCAGCTATAGAGGAAACTATATGGGGAATCAACTGTAGTATGTAATAAGCATAAAGAGAAGGTTTTCAAGCCTCTTTTACACAGTATATGTGTGTATTGACACATATATGTGTGTATTGTAGGAAAATCTTATAAGGGGTTTGTTTAATTCAGGTATGGGCAAACCCAGGCCTGGGGGCCGGATGCAGCCCCTTGGGCTCTTTTCTCAGGCCCTCCTGTCTCTCACCATCCTATCCTCCTTCCTTCTCTCTTTCCTTCCTCCTTCTTTCTCTTTCCCTCCTTTCTCCTGCCCTTCCTTCCTCTCTTTCCTTCCTTCTGCCTTTCCTCCCTTCCTCTCCCTCTCTCTCTTCCTCCTTCTTCCCTTCCATCCTTTCATTCTTCCTTCCTTCCCTCTCTTCCTTTCTCCTTCCTTCCTTCCTTCCTTCTTTGCCTTTTGTCTTTCCTTCCTTCTCTCTTTCCTCCTTCCCCTCCCTTTCTCCCTTCCTCCATTCACTTCCATCCTTTTGTCCTCCCTTCTCTCTTTTCTTCCTCCTTCTCTTCCTTCCTTTGTTCCTCCCTTCCCTCCCTTCCACCCTTTCATACCTCCCTCCTTCCCTACCTTTTGTCTTTCCTTTCTTGTCTTTTTCCTTCCTCCTTCCCTTCCCTCCCTCTTCCTCCTTCCATCCTTCCCTTCCACCCTGTCATCCTTCTTTCCCTCTTCCTCCTCCCTCCCTCCCTTCCCTTTTGTCTTTCCTTCCTTCTCTCTTTCCTTTATCCCTCCCTTCCCTTCCTTCATCCTTCCATCCTTTTCTTCCCCCCTTCTCTTTTCCCTTCTATCCCCCTTCCCTCCTCCCTCCCTTCCCTTCCATGCTTTCCTTCTCCTTCCCTTTTCTTTTCTTTCTTTCCTCTTCCTTTCCTCCCTCTTTCCTCTTTTCTTCTCCTCCTTCCTTCCCTACCTTCTTGTCTTTTCCTCCTTCCTCCTCCCCTCCCTCCCCTCCCTCTTCTCTTTCCTTCCCTTCCCCTTTTTCTTCCTTCCCCTTTCCTTCCTTCTCTCCCTCTTCCTTTCTTCCTTCCTTTCTTCCTTCCTTCCTTCCTTCCTTTCTTCCTTCCTTCCTTCCTTCTCCTTCCTTCCTTCCTTCCTTCCTTCCTTCCTTCCTTCCTTCCTTCCTTCCTTCCTTCCTTCCCTTTTCTTTCCTTCCTTCTCTCTTTCCTTTATCCTTCACTTAAGCGGCTGAGGGGGAAAAGGAAAGGGCCTGAGGCTGTTAGGAATGGTGGGAGTTGAAGTCCAAAACACCTGGAGGGACCAAATTGTCCCAGTGTCTCTATGCCTGGATCCCTTCCTTCCTGCGCTGCTGCCAGATCCGCTCCGGGTTTCCTCAGCTTCCGAGGGAGGGAGGGAGGGAGGGAGGAAAAGGATGGGGAGGGGAAAAGGGGGCGATCCAGGCCGGGTCTCCGCTCTCTCCCTGTATCCCTCCCTCCTTCCCTCCCTCCCTCCTTCCTCTCCATCGCTTTCGGGAGGCGGCTGCTCGGCGTCCGGCGGCGGCGGTGGCGGCGGGGGAGGTGACCATGCACCGCGTGCTCCCCAGCCAGCGCCCCCCGGTCTCCTCTTCCTCGTCCTCCTCCTCCTCCTCGGGCTCCTTCCAGGCTCCTCCGCCTCCTCCGCCCCCCGCCACCGACCTGCAGCCCCTCTTCTTGGGCGGAGGAGGAAAGCGGGAAGGCTGCCTCATCCTCGGCCTCAGCTCCAGCTCCAGCGGAGGCTCCCGGAGGGGGCGGCGGGGCTCCGTGTCCAGCTCCACGGGGACAAGGAGGAGCAGCCCACGCAGCAGCAGCGAGGAAGAGGAGGAGGAGGAGGAGGAAGAAGAGGAGGAGGCCAAGCCTTTGGTGCCGCTGCAGGAGCCCCTCCCGCCCCTCGCCGCCCCCTCGCCGGGCTCCAACATCCCTTCTTCTTCTTCTTCCTCCTCCTCCATGACAGCCGGGGAGCCCCCCTCGGGGCCCGGAGGGGGCAACGACAGCAGGAGTGGCAACAGAAGCTCCCGGTGGGGCTTCCAGGCGCTGTCCTTAGTGCTGCTGCTAGGCCAAGGCGCCTTGCTGGACCTCTACCTGATTGCAGTCACGGATTTGTACTGGTGCAGCTGGATTGCTACGGATTTGGTGCTGGCTGTCGGGTGGGGCATCTTCTTCTGCCGGAATAGCCGAGCCCGCCGCCGAGGAGGAGCTGGAGCTGGAACTGGAGGAACTGGAGGAGGACAATTCCCACCGCCTCCCGCTTTGCATCCTTTGCTGGGCCACCCTCCTCACGGTGGTGGGCGCGGGGTTGGGGCCTCCTCGTCCTCAGGTGGCAAGGCGGCCCCTCCAGCTCGGGTCAAGGCAGGCGGGGACTTCGCCTACGCACACCTGGCTTGGCTGATCTACGCCATCGCCTTCACGCCCAAAGCGGCGCTCATCCTAGGCACCTCCATCCTGGAGCTGGTGGAGCTGCGCCTCCCGCTCGGCGCCACGGGATTCCGCCTCACCTTGGCCCTCTCCGCCCCGCTGCTCTACTGCCTCCTCCGGGCCATCGGAGCCGGGGAAGCGGAGGAGGCCGAGGAGGAGGAGGAGGAGGAGGAGGAAGAGGGCGCTGCAACCTCCTCCTCCTCTTTCTTCTCCGGGGGCCAGCTCCTGCTCCCGCCCCACCCGCCGCCCCACCACCGCGCCGCCGCCGCCTTCCTGGGCACCTGCCTGGACCTGCTGGACAGCTTCTCCCTCCTGGAGCAGCTCCTGCTCTTCCCGCCGGCGCCGCCCTCCTCCTCCTCGGCCTCCCCGTCGTCCCCGTCCTCCTCCTCTCCGCCCCGGTCCGGGCCCGCGCTGCCCCCTCCGCTGCGCTACCTGCTCCTGGGCGTGTACTTCGCCTGCCTGGCCTCGCCCGTGCTGTGGCTCTACGAGCTGGGCGCCCCCCGCCGGCCCGGCCCGGCCCGCCTGGCGCTGCACTGGCTCCTGCCCGCCGGCCTCCTCGACGCGCCGCTCCTCGCCCTCCGCGCCCTCCTCCTCCTCCGGCACCAGCAGCCCCTCTCCGTCTTCATGCTCAAGAACCTCTTCTTCCTCGCCTGCCGGGGCCTCGAGGGCCTCGAGAGCGCATGCCTCCTCCTCCGACGGCACCGACGCCGACGCCGCGGAAAGGGGACCCCCGGGGGGACACCCCACGCCGCACCCGCCGGAGGGCAGCTCAGCCGCGGCCTCTCCGAGAACGACGTGGGACCCCACGGATACGTCAACACCCTGGCCGTCAGCGCCCAGAGCTGAGCCCGCTCACAACAAGGCCCCCAGGACGCCCTCTCAGCCCTAGGGCCTCTGCTCACTTAGACCAAGGCCAGCCCCAGGTCCCCCACCCACTCAGCCCCTGGACATCTTCTCAGCCCTAAGGCCTCGACTCACTTAGACCCCCCCCACTCAGCCCCGGGTCCCCTACCCACTCAGACCAAGGCCCACTCAGCTTCGGGACATCTTCTCAGCCCTAAGGTCTCTACTTAGACCACCCCCCCTCAGCCCTAGGACTCCCACTCACTTAGACCACCCCCACAGAGCCCCAGGACCCCCACGCACTCAGACCAAGGCTCACTCATCCTCAGGACATCTTCTCAGCCCTAAGGCCTCTACTCAGACCACTCAACCCTAGGACCCCCACTCACTCAGACCAAAACCCACTCAGCCCCAGGACATCTTCTCAGCCCTAAGGCCTCTACTCACTTAGACCCCCCCCACTCAGCCCCAGGACCCCTACTCACTCAGACCAAGGCCCACCATTCAAAGCACCCCCTCCCTCAGCCCTAGGACCTCTACTCACTGAGCCTAAGACCCACCCTTCAGTCACTCGGCTCTAAGGCTTCAACTCACTTATACCAAGGCTCCTGTCGCTTAGCCTCAGGACCCCCACTCACTCAGACCAAGGCCCACCACTCAAAGCCCCCCCTCAGCCCCAGGAACCCCTACTTAGCCCTAGGACCTCTACTCACTGAGCCTAAAGCCCACTCCTCAGTCACTCAGCCCCAGGACCCCCACTAACTCAGACCAAGGCCCACCACTCAAAGCCCCCCCCCCAGCCCCAGGAACCCATACTTAGCCCTAGGACCTCTACTCACTGAGCCTAATGCCCATCCCTCAGTCACTCAGCTCTAGGGCTTCTACTCATTTATACCAAGGCCCCCATCACTTAGACCCAGGACCCCCACTCAGTCCAAGGCCCACCACTCAAAGCCTCTCCCTCTCTCAGCCCCAGGAACCCCTATTTAGCCCTAGGACCTCTACTCACGGAGCCTAAGACCCACCCCTCAGTCACTCAGATCTAGGGCTTCTACTTACTTATACCAAGGCCCCTGTCACTTAGCCCCAGGACCCCCACTCACACAAACCAAGGCCAACAACTCAAGGCCCGCCCTCTCAGCCCTAGGAACTCCTACTTAGCTCTAGAACCTCTACTCACTGAGCCTAAGGTCCAACCTTTAGTTACTCATGTCTAGGGCCTCTACTCACTTATACCAAGTTCTCGTCACTCAGCCCCAGGACCCTTACTCTTTTTGATTAAAGCCCCTCTTACTCAACGCCAGGCATGCCATTTAGCCCAAGGCCATACCTGACCAGCTACCATAGATGGAGGCACGTCCCATTCTAGTTGAGATGCCCACTTCCTCCTTGCCATTCCCCCTCTCCTTTCTACGACCCCATCTATACTGACCATTTAGTGCATTTTGAAGCCAAGCAGCTCCCAACTGTGGTGACCAGGCAACAAATTCCCACAAGAGCACAGGAAGGGAAGTCCTTAATGTGTATCAGTGCTCTGTGGTTTCTGTAATCACCACCTGTGCCTCACAATGGTCCGGGATTTCCTATGTAATCACCTGCAGTGCAAAAAAATCTGCACTGAATGATCAGTGTAGCTGGGGCCACAATTTCCCCCCAGTTTCCAGTTGGGCATAAAAATGTCCAACCTAGGCTATTTTAAGTGCACGTCTACACTGGCCAGTTTGGCAGTGTAGTGGTAGTACAAGGCTGGTGTATGAACACAGGCTGCAGTGTACTTTGTTTGAGCAAAGTTGAGGGATACTCCAACAGAGAGCACTCAGTGTGCATCAGCATGCTGTAGTGCAGGCATGGGCAACCTTGGACCCTCCTTCCAGGTGTTTTGGACTCCACTCCCACCATTCCTAACAGCCTCAGGTCCCTTCCTTTTCCCCCTCAGCCCTTTGCTCAGGGGGGGGGGAAGAAGAGGCCTGAGGCTGTTAGGAATGGTGGGAGTTGAAGTCCAAAACACCTGGAAGGAGGGTCCAAGGTTGCCCATGCCTGCTCTAGTGTAAACAACATCGCATGGTGAAATCAACTCTGCAGAATTCATTTTGCAATGCAAACACCAGATAATTCCACTCTTTGAAATATATCCATGGCTTTGTTAGGAGTGGCCCAAAAGATGCATTCACCTTTGCATCAATTTGGAGAATGGGGAGGAGACTCCGGACAGCAGCTGCACCCTCCATTGTATCGGGAAGCAGCTTGCTTTACAAGCTGTTGCATTTTCAGACCTACTTTTGCCTTTAACTGTTCCATAGCTATACATCATCTGCTGCAGAGCCCTTTCATCATGCCAACTTTAAAAAAAAGGAAATTACTATAACCTACTTTTGCAGACCTAGTGGTCTCCTGCCAGGGAATTAATCAGGTATGCATATACGCACACAATTTTAATAACACTTATGCACCAGGCACTCACAGATCATCTACTGAACCCTTAGGATGGCAGCAATTAGCTAACTTTACTGGTCCCCCCTCCCCCAAGTCCTTTTTCCCAATTACCACTGACTAATCTGTACTCTTTCTACACCACCTCTATAACTCCCAGTTGTCCCTATTTTATAGATTCTCTCAAAAGACCACTTGCGGTACTTTGGCTCTAGAGAGCCCTTACCTTTTTGTTATTTAGGATTATAGGACTCTCACAAGAGAGGAAGCATAGTTTGAGTGCCTAATTGCACTTTCGAAATTGTATTGTCTGCATTGTTTTCATGAGCTGGTCATATCCACAACAGGAAGAATGAAGATGACATGCCTCCCATTTCTCCGCCATGGTCACTTTTCTCATTCCCTGCCCACTCCTTGCTGAGGTGCCTCCAACCAGCACTGCCTATTGGGATGGTGGGGAGAGATGTGATGACCACCAACTCAAAATTACAACTTGCCTGCCCTCTTATTTGCAAACGGTGCAGGTTTTCTATATTTACCTTGTGCTGCTGCCTATTCAGCAAGAGGTGAACCAGCCATAATGCTAATGCTGAACAAAGAGAGGAGCACTACTGATGGTGCTGAATTGGGCCAGATCCTGTTGGTAAACTTGTGGACTGAAATCCTTCCAACTAATTGGAGGTTGGGCTGTTGTGAGTTGTCCGGGCTGTATGACCATGTTCCAGAAGCATTCTCTCCTGACGTTTCACTTGCATCTATGGCAGACATCCTCAGAGGTTGTGAGGTCTGCTGATCACTAGGAAAATGGGAATTATATATAGAATCATAGAATCATTGAATTGGAAGAGACCTCATGGGCCATCCAGTCCAACCCCCTGCCAAGAAGCAGGAATGTTGCATTCAAACACCCCCGACAGATGGCCCATCCAGCCTCTGTTTAAAAGCTTCCAAAGGAGACTCCACCACACTCCGGGGTAGAGAGTTCCACTGCTGAATAGCTTTCACAGTCAGGAAGTTCTTCCTAATGTTCAGATGGAATCTCCTTTCTTGTAGTTTGGAGCTATTGTTCCACATCCTAGTCTCCAGGGCAGCAGAAATATATATATATGTGGAATGTCCAGAGTGGGAGAAAGAACTCTTGAATGTTACCATTGGCCACCTTGATTTGCATTTAATGGCCTAGCAGTTTCAAGGTCTGGTTTCTTACTGCCTTTAAGCTGCTAGGCCATTAAATGCTAATCAAGGTGGCCAACTGCAACATTCAAGCGTTCTTTCTTCCGCCCTGCACATTCCACAGATATATAAACCTAATTTTCCTAGTTTCCAACAGACCTCACAACCTGTGAGGATGTCTGCCATAGATGAAGGTGAAACATCAGGAGAGAATGCTTCTGGAACAGGGCCATACAGTCCAGAAAACTCACAACAACCCAGTGATTTCAGTCATGAAATTCTTTGACAGGTGCTTTTCCCTTCCAAAATTTCCCCTATCTAGAAAGTAAGTGCAAATGATTATGATGTGTAACCAACTTACCATACACAGTGTTGGTGTGGAAGGAGGCTGCATGGACGAACATGCAGTAATGTTATTTTCTACCTGCAAGTCAAAAGGGCGCAGTCTAGACATAGGTTCCCCATCTGGCCATTTAAAAATCTGTGCCTCTACTTACCATGTTGTTGCTCAGGGTGCTGTACCTGTGCCAAGCCGTTTCAGCCAAGGGCAATTGAAGGGCACCATTTCTATTAATATGGTTCCCTTTTATATATTCTTTTAGTAAAACGTTTGGAGAAGAGCTCAATATGAAATGCTCAAAACTATAAGGACCAATTAATTTTAAAAGCATTACATTGTCTAAAAAATCAGCCACATTGTTACTATTGTGGGCCAAATTATATACTCCTTTATATGTCTGCCTGTTTCTTCTGCGGCCTTCACTTTGCACCTAGTACTTCTGTGAGCCATGAGAAAACATGGATCTTGGCTTGTTTGATACTGTTTGATACTAAATCACACCTGGAAGAGACTGTGCTGATGTAGCTTCCATATATCAGGCCTTGGAGTACATCACTGCCCCACTCTCGAAAGAGGACATTGTTCTAAACCAACTTTTTCCTTAGTCAAAGCTTGTGGAAACAACTCTTATTTCACCAATCCGTCGGGATAAAGTTACTCCCCCATGAGACACATTTTTGGGGATTAGGGAGGTACCTGCAATCTTTAAAGAAGGAGCCATCTTTCTCCATGCTGAAAATGTCTACCTCTTTGCTTCAACTTCATTGCATCATGCGCTGACTTTTTTGCAAATGGGACACATCCGATTTTCTCCAGAGAAGGATTGAAGGAGATCCTTCTTGACTGAAACGTTTAACTCACCGGTGATAACAGGGTCTGTCAACAATTTCTAATTTCACAAAGGCTTTTTTTCCTCCTTGGTGATAGACTTGCATGATGGGAAGAAATTGGTGCTCTGTTTTGACAACAGTCTTTTATTATTGAGTAAGAGGCAATCATCCACTAAGAGTAAATAAGGTGAAAGGAAAAACCGTACCTATTTATTTATTTATTTAACCTATCTATTTATCTGTTTATTTTATTCTGCTTAGTATGCACTGTGTAGTATTAATTCTAATTTTGTCATGGAATTAAAATTGGGGGAAAGAACACAATATCAAAAGATAGAGAAACA